ATATCTTACACGCAGATTTCTCAGTAGTTCTGCACAGCCGTGTGTATCTATCTCTCTATATATGTATGTATGTATGTATGTATGTATGTATGTATGTATGTATGTTTGTTTGTTTGTTTGTTTGTTTGTTTGTATGTGTATATTTACTTCGGCGTTTCGAAGGCAAGAACGAAGCCACAGATTTGGAACTTACAATACATCGGGCGTTCCCCGGACTCGAGCCACAGCGGGAGCCGCGCAATTAATACCTCCCTACCCCTGACTTAAGACACGCTGCTTGGAATCCAAGGCATAAAGAGACAAGTAAGAACAAGTCAAGACAACTGAAGGCAAACAGCAACACATGACAAATAAGGTGGTTCAAGATTTGGCACTTAAGAGCTATGAAGCCGTGGGGTTTAAGCCTTTGCTTCCAGACCCCCACAAAAGCTTAGCTAAGGAAGAAAACACAATTTCTTTGCACGCAGTTGCAAGATAGCTCATGAGTACTCGTGGCTTACTAACGAAACTGAATAGAGTCCAGGTCACAGTCTGGTCACCCACGTAGGATCCCATAGAACCAGCATGGACTTCGACTGCTTCAAGAATGCACCCATACTCAGCAGCGCTTGTCCCTTTTGGTCTTCGTCAGTTTGATGAATGCACGCGATGTCTAGAAACACCAGCTTTTGCGGATGCCAGAGTAGCAGGGTTATGCAGAAGGCTACAAACCCAAACAGCAGGCACCATCTCTCTTGTACACCCAGATATCCTGCTGAGACGAGGCCGCAGGCTATGCTTGAGCTCAATGTTCCTGCTATGCTTGCCGGCATGCAATTATGCAGATAAAGCATGTTGGTATATTTGGTCCACGCCGACCCCTGCCAGCTGTGGGACCAAAACTGATCGAACTGTGCTGTCTGCTGACTCAATCCATGCAGATCGTTGCGCTTGCCTCGTAGCCACGCCGACGGCAAGTAACGCAACAGCTTCCAAACATGGACTCCACGTAGTATTTCTGGCCGCGTCGCCCGCATCGCGTTGATGAAGGCAATGCACCGTTGCATCAGCTCGGCAACTCTGTCGTGCTCTGCCTCCTCCTCTGAAGAGTCTGGAAATTCAAGCGGAATGTTGTCGTCAGGGTCGACTGACACCTCTGGATCAATATTCTCTATATCAGTATCCTGGGGATCGAACATATCCTCGTGCTTGCCCAGCACTATCTCAGACCCTTGCGGCATGGCTCGGTACCGGGCGGTGCCTCCTAGGCACCTACACTTCGGAGAGTTATTCCACTGTGCCACGTGCTGACCAAGCCTCAGAATTCTCTGTAAACTGCATATCCCGCATCCTTCAGATTTGTATGTCGGAGCTCCTCTGTCTGTTATGTCCTAGTCTCTGGGGTTCGAGACGAAACGACTTTGCACAAAGTGCCGCTCTAGCACAGGAGGCAGCAAACATGCGACAGATGTGTGGACTCGTGGACGTAGTACCAGTCTAGGGCTGCGTTTAACCGGATGGCCGACTGATTCGTGAGCACTGCAGATCTGCCAGTGAAGATGCATTTCTTACACTCCTCAAGGCACGGCAGTTCACTGCACCAAACCCGTATTCAGTCCGGCACTACACATGCTGGTGCCTTCTCTACGGCGATACATTGTCCTTACCGCGGTTGAAGCAAGCTACACCTTCGAGTTCGTCTTTGATTGGAGGGCTGAGAGATTCCCGTTCACACCACCGGACCAAGATAGCATCGGTAGCCTCCACATCTTTCAAGACAAAACCCGAACCCCTAAACCCCAAATCATGAGTGGCCCTTCCGATGTGGAAAAACATGACTCGGAGGCTTCAACTGGAATTGAAAAGGGTTAGGGTTTTCGGGTTAGGGTCGAGGGCTTAAGAAATTTCAGGGGCTGTCGGCACCCAAGGCAGAGGTACTCTTTGTATACCTTTAGGCCCCTAACGACCGAAACGAGCACGAACCTGGCAAAAAAACGAAAGGTCTTGTGATGCTTGGGGCCGAGTTTCTCAGATTTCCTTTTTGCAAACGCACGCAGACATGAAGACGAAAGAGGGACGGTAGACGAGGGAAGAAGCGAGCTCTCAGTATACCAGGCAGTCGAAGATGAACCCCGGCAACACAAGATCCGGCAAAGCTGCCTTCCGGTGCAGGCACGCAAAACAGAAGAAGCAGAAGAAGAAGCCCGGGTACCATAGGGTGTGACGCCGCCGCCCCTGGGCTGTGTCAGGTAGAAAGATGGGCGATGAGCGGACCAGCAGGTAATATAGGGGCCTAAAATAGTTAGAATAGGGTTTTTGTGGTATATTATACTATAACTGAAACGAGGAACCCCCACAACAATATAGGTAACTATATTCAGGCCTCTACATTAAAGGGTCTTGGGGCTGCAGAAAGGGGCTTCGCCATGAGGGTTCTGGATCTAGGATGTCACGTCGGGGCTTTAATACTTAGATTTGGGTTTTGGGGGCTCCGTATTGTAATTATAGTAGAATATACCCCCAAACCCTATTCTGATTACTAAGGCCCCTGTACTACGAATCCTGGTTCTCACGGCTCTTCAGGTCTTCGGTCGTGATTGAGTCTGTGCATATAACCCTCAACCCAAACCCCCCATAAACAAGGCTTCAGGAATAGATCCTATGTAAACCCTATAAGCTCCACTAACCCCACATCAGTCGGTAGGGGCGGCGCTAAAAAAGGCGCGGAGCTGCGGGGTTTTTTCTTCGGTGGAAAACAGAGCTGACCTACTTGTCCCGTAGTCTAACCCTATAGTACTATAAACCCTAAACCGTTAGGGTTTAGGGTTTAGGGTTTAATATGGACTCTGAACCGTAAGCGGAACTCATCCGAAGAAGAGATATACTATAAAGGCTATAAACCTTCTCCTTCTTTTTCAACCTGAAGCCGTAAACCCTATAAACCCTGAGACCGTAACTCCTTAATACCCGGGCAGTCGCAGGCATAGAGGCAAAATCGCACCAAGGAGCAGAAGTAGTAACCATTCAGGTTTCTCTATTAACATACCGCTCTCCTTTCTCCCGAGCTCGCTGACCTTTCCTTGGTCACTCGGTCGTTTAGGTTCCTCCAGAAGGGATGCCTGACAGTTTAAAAAGGACACCCTCGACATTCTGCCATAGGTCTGGGTGGAACACGCTACGTTAAGGATGCGGATGGGTGCATATTGCTGTCAACCCTGCTTGAAGTGTTGGCCTTGGGCCGTCACCTCAGTCTCAGCTTCAGGGTTTAATGTGTAATATACTATAGTATACCATAATATACTCTAATATACTATAATATACTATAAGAAACTATAATATACTATAATATACTGTAAGACTTCAACCTAAAAGCTTAAGCCAGCTCGGGTCTTGTGCTCAAACGAACCGCCACAGGATGGCCGCGACCGTCCACCATGTAAGCATTGAGATCACACTCAGGAGAAGTCTCCGGTCGTTTTCACGGAAGGCGTAGAGCTGGATCACGTGGCAAGCGACATAGAGCATGAAGGCCCATATCACGGTGACCATCGATAGCAAGAAGTCCAAGTATGGCTTGCAACATCGTGCTCGCAGGCGGTAGCACAAGCGGAAGCCGACTTTGTCCACTAAAGGGAAGATCGCCAGGAAATAGGTGAGTGTCTGGGCTAGATCGACTACCTGTCGGCTGGGATCGTTTGCGTTGCTAGCTGCATACCCAAGACGGAGCCAGACCCACGGAGTAGAAACAAGCAAGATGTGTTGATACGAGATGGCGTTGTAGGCAAGCTGATCGATGACGGCCATCCGCACTTCAGTTTGCACGTGCCTTTCAAAGCTGTCCAGTGATTTGTACCACACAGCGATGCACTGCAACAGGACCTCCCGGTCGCATATAAGAGAGTTGTTTTCATGGCCGCGGTCGCAGCAAGCGCTTCTGACATGCTCGACCTTGAAGTCACGGAGTTGCTCTTGCAGGGTCTCAACACTGCGGGCATAACCTCGCAGAGCATGCGTCGCGAAGCTTAGGAACACCACGAGATGAAGTGCAAGGACCACCAAAGAGAGTTCCCCCACGAGCATTGACTCTCCCGAAGAAGCCATGGAGGAATTCACATAGTCATACATCATGCAGATTGCACAGGTCAGCACCACACGTAGCAGAAGCACTGGCCCGAACAAGGGAGGAACGATCTGAAGATCTGCCTTGCGACCGGGACTGCGGCTGTGTAGAAAGGCAGCGATTTCGAAGATGCACCACCTTTCTCTTCTAGCGTAGGCAGCTTACCGAGTCTCATATAAGCATGTATACCTGTCTGTACATCTGTGTCTATATCATATATGTATGTCGATATCTTTGTCTATGCCTTTGTCTACACATAAACCTATCTATCCAGATTTCTTGCTATGTATCTGTACACACACATGTGTGTGTGTGTGTATAAGCATGTGTAATATACTCTTCGCTTATGTACACAGTATGTGGAAGGTGTTGACTGTTGTGTTAACGTTCACTGGCTGGGAGCTGCGTCGGCCTGGAACTAGACGGCGGTGAGGGGAGTACGGAAGCCGTATTTCTTTGCGTGCAGGCTTGCTGTGCCATGTATTATAGTTACTATCATAGCGGCGTACTAGCGAAAACTGAATAGAATCCGGGTCACAGTCTGGTCACCCACGTAGGATCCCATAGAACCAGCATGGACTTCGACTGCTTCAAGAATGCACCCATACTCAAGAGTGCTTGTCCTTTTCGCCTTTGGTCACTTTGATGAATGCAGACGATGTCCAGAAACACCAGCTTTTGCGGATGCCAGAGTAGCAGGGTTATGCAGAAGGCTACAATCCCGAACGGCAGGCACCATCTCTCGTGTACACCCAGATATCCTGCTGAGACGAGGCCGCAGGCTATGCTTGAGCTCAACGTTCCTGCTATGCTTGCCGGCATGCAATTATGCAGGTAAAGCATGTTGCCATACTTGGTCCACCGCGAACCCTGCCAACTATGAGAACAAAACTGATCGAACTGCGCTGTCTGCTGACTCCATCCGTGCAGATCCTTGAGATTGCCACGTAGCCAAGCCGACGGCAAGTAACACAATAGCTTCCAAACGCGGACTCCACGTAGTGTTTCTGGCCTTATCGCCTGCATCTGTTCTATAAATGCCAAGCACCCATGCACCAGCTGGCCAATGCTGTCGGTGTCCGGACCTTCCTGTCTGGTGCTTAGTAGGGAATGGGGGAATGGATCCCTATGATAGTCCGTGAAGGTCCCTTATAGTAGTCCCTATAACCCATTCCCCCATTCTCTACTAAGCACCAGACAGTCCTCTGAAGCTTCTGATCCTGGAAACTCAAGTGGAATGGGATCCTCCATTGCCGTCGGTTGGAGCTTGCCCAGCACTTTCTCGCAACTTTGCGACATGGCTCGGTCAAAGCCTCTTTATGGGTTAAACGCAAGGGTTTAGGGTTTAGGGTTTAGGGTTTAGGGTTTAGGGACGGTATATCAGCAAGCTCCACCATTTGGTATGTCCCAGCCACGCAGCTGAAGTGATTTTGCCCTCAGATCCTCAAGCCAAAACTTCAGCACCGAACACCCTTGCACGATGCCTGCATGGCCCGAAACCCTAAGCTAAAGAGAACTACAGGTGGGGAGTTTAGGGTATATAGGGCTTCTATAAGGCTTCCACGTGGTATACAGACCTTCTATAAGGCTCCTATAACGGTAACTACCCACCTGAAAATGTCCTAGACTAAGCCGAGACCCTAAACCGTTCGCAAACATCGCCTATTGACTCAGATCCTGTCTTGGTGGAGGATCGGAGCCATGGGCTGTTCTTTGGAGTTTCAGGACCCTAGACCCTAAACCAGAGACCCGAAGCCCCAAACCCCAAACACCCTAACACCCAAAGCCCTAAAGCCCTGCCTACTTCCCCAACCCTAAACCCTAAACCCTAAACCCTAAATCCTCAACCCCGCTTCAAGCGCCCTAAACCGTCTTGTTAGCCGAACCTTTTTCATCTGCCACCGCGAAGGTCATCCTCGGGTCAGAGCTGCGGTGATTCGACCTGGATTCAGGGCCAGTCTTGCTTAGGTTTTAGGGTTTAGGGTTTAGGGTTTAGGGTTTAGGCTTTCGTGTTTCGGGTTTGAGTGATGAGGGCTTTGTGCGTTGCCGAATGAAGGGGCTTGGGATTCACGCAAACTCCTAAACATCCCAGCACGCCAAGGCCCTAAACCGTCAATAACACCGACAACGCCTACCAAGGCAAATACACACGGGCATTTTTTGAATTAACCCTAAACCCTAAGCCCCGCTCTAACTTGGGTTCTTGAAGGCCTTAAGCGATTTGGCCTTCAGCTTCGCAACGTTGGCAGTCGCAGTCGAAAAACCAGTGGCTAGACCTCAATTAGGGCTGTGGGAATAAGGATTCCTATAACAGGTTCCCTCACGGGTGTAACCCTAAACCCTGAACCCTAAACCCCTAAACTGGGTTGAGAGTTCCTAGATCCGTCTCCAGCACCACTGGGCCCCATAAAGATCCTCTGATTTAGGATCTAGATTAGCCCCCTAAACCCTAAACCCTAAACCCTAAACCCTAAACCCATGATTAGCCGAGAGAGGATGAGTTCTCACTCCCAAATTCGGGGCTTCAGGAGGGTTTTGGAACTTGGAGCCGAAAAACCTGGGCTTTAAGAAAGGTTCTTTGGGCTTGGTGTGGGATTCACAGGGTTTCGGGGCTGCAGGAGTCTAGGCTTCTAGTCCCGGGGCTTCAAGTCGAGGGCTTCAGGGTTGAGGTTTGGGGTTTCAGGAATTAGGGTTTGGGGCTTTAGGGTTTCAGGGGTGAGGACTGTGGGGCTTAGTGCTGTAGCAGGATTGCGATCGGTGTTTGCTCGAGATGTTGTGGCTTGTACTCCAATTCGCGTGTACCCCTTCTTTCAGTAACTGGGCACAGGATAAGAGTCCGTAAGGACGCAGACTGACAGAATGTACAGTACGACCACAACCAGAGCAACGCCGGAGACGGGCAGCTACCCCTCATGTCGCTGCTCCACGCTTACTGTGTTTAAGTAGCACCAGCATCAGTGCAGCGATAGAAACGCAGTTGTGAAACCGTCGTGGTCGTTGTGGTGGTGGCATTTAGTCATCACTGTGTGTAGCAGTGTAGCAAATCATAGTCAAAGTCGTCACAGCACCAACTCAAGCAGGAGAAGGAGGAGGAGGAGGAGGAAGAGGAGGAGGTGGAGGAGGAGGAGGAGGAGTGAGAACAGTAGCAGTAGTCAGCAGTAGTAGCAGTAGCAGTGCCAGCAGTGTAGCCCTAGCAGTATCAGGCGCGGCAGCAGCAACAGTAATTAAGCAGGCGTCGTCGACCTGGTACAGATTTTGATGCGACACAAGCACTGTACTAGTGTAGCAGCAACTGCTGCGGTCGGAGTTGGCAGAAGGAGTGGCGATGGCACTTGCAGCCGCGCAGTTGCAACTTGCATTGGAATACTCATAGAAAAGCCCTATCTGATCCCTATAATAGTATTAACCCCTAAACCCTAAACCTAACAATCAGAATCATCACAACAAAAACACGTAGATGGCGGACTATTTCCCAAGGTCTGCAGCTTCAGACTGATCTGAGGCCATATCAGCTGCCGGCGTCGCTCATCGCCCGGCCTCAAGCTCAATGAGTGAAGAACACGAAATCTGACTTATGATCGTAGCATTGCGTGGGTGTTAGAAACCCTAAACCCTAAACCCTAAACCCTGAAACCGGAACCCTAAACCC